ACACACAAAACCTTTAAAAAAACTGGAAAGTCGTCGTCTACCTCATGATAATTTCTAAAATGACTCGAGCAACCGCCTGCTGTGATGAAATTCATTTATTCAGATCATTTTGCGTTAAACGTCACGCGTACAGCACGGAAAGTGACACTTTTAATTAAATTTTACAGAAAATTGGATTAGAGTATTATTGATTGATTTTTTCACTTATTTTCAATTAAATAGAGAAAAAAGGCAGCTTTGGTGACAAGCCCAAACTCTGGCATTATTTCTACGTAATATACAATTAACATCAAAATTCTACATCTGTAGATTACTTACGATCTATCTCGTTTTTGAATAAATATAAAAAAGTTGTTTGGAAAATTTTGGGCAATAGCTTGGGTTTAGAAATACAATTTAGGTATATTGGCCCGAATCAGTACGTTTTTTGGAAATAACAATCCAGTCTCAAATCCTTTTTTAAATTTTTTTAAATATTGTTTTTAATTTAATTCTTAATTCATCATAATTATTGTTATCTTATAAATGAATGAGTCGAATCCATTGCGAAAAAATTTTCTTTATTGATAGCAAGTGCCCCATATTTGGCCCTATTAAAAATGGTGGGAGTCAGTTCAAATATAGATATGGCTCCCATATATCTTCAAACAATTTCGTGTTAATTGTGCACCAAATGGCCAATATCTGACCAAATGATCTGAATTTTAACCAAATGATTTAATTGTAACCAAATTAAGTCTAGAGGCAATTACATCAAATTTGGAGAAAATCGGTTCGGATATAGCTATAGCTCCCCATGTATGTAATATCAGCTCAAATTTAATATTTTTTTATATTCAATCGAATTTTACTATGAGTGGTATGATCTACTTCACATAAATTCCCAATTTAAACTTGTTGGTTACGAGACTAAATAAATACGGAGAGAGTTTAGGGTATCATATAGTCGGCCAGCCCTACTTTTGACCTTTCCTTACAATATTTAAAGTAACTACTTCGATTTATATTGAAATAAGTCGTTAAGGTTATAACATGCAAGAGAAATAGTGGTCTACAGTGCAGTCTCTTTGGGTAAAAAAATCACACATAAATTCACTTAATATAAATTACTTTTCCCGCATACGAAGTAGAAGACATTAGCTAGTATTGATTCCATGACCAATTTAAGATTTCAGTACTTTTTATACCGAACGCCACACGGTGGGGCCTTTGTGCATTTCTTTGCAACATGCAGAAGGAAACGAGATACATCCATAGTTCCTTTGATGATATTCAAATAAAGTCCTGCAACACAACTTTTGGTTTTTGATGATTGAATTATGTTTTAGAGGAACAACAGCGCCGTTAAAGATATCTCTAAATAAAACAAGAAAGAAGAAATTTTATCTATTGGAAGGAATTTTAAAATCTAAAAAAATTACTTAAAAATGTCGCTACAATTTTAACAAGTAAACAAGTTAAAAAGCAGTAAGTTCGGCCGGGCCGAACTTTTAATACCCTCCCCATTTACAACGAATTTGGAAATTTTCAAAAAATATAATCCTTAAAAAATTCTGTTAAAATTTTAAAAATACCGAATATAGCCGTTATATTGGGGTCTATACGACGTGGACATACATATGCATTGTTTGTCATAAGCCATTACCATATTCAAATTCGAAACTGGATCCGCACCGACAATTTTCTGTCACAGACTGTAGTTCCCATAACGAACTTCAAATACCAAATTTTAAACAATTCCGGTTAATAATGTCGCTAAAATCATCAAAATACCGAACATAGCGGGGTGCCGTTATATGGGGGCTATACGAAGACGTGGACCTGCACAGACAATTTTCAGTCTTAGGGTGTAGTATCCATTTGGAACTTCAAATACCAGATTTGAAACAATTCCCGTGAATAATGTCGCTAAAATCATCAAAATACCGAATATCGGGAGGTACCGTTATATGGGGGCTATACGAAGACATAGACTTGCACAGACAATTTTCTATCTTAGGGTTGTAGTATCCATTTGGAACTTCAAATACCAAATTTGAAACAATTCCGGTGAATAACGTCGCTAAAATCATCAAAATACCAAATATCCAAAGGTACCGTTATATGGGAGCTATATGAAAACGTGGACCTACATGGCCCATTTACGAACTTAACCTGCCTACTGGAAAAATAAACATGTGTGCAGTAAGTTCGACCGGGCAGAACTTTGAATACCCTCTACCATTTGGTACGAATTTGGAAATTTTCAAAAGGATAAGATCCGCTACAAATTTTGTTAAAATCTTAAAAATATCGAATATAGCCGTTATATTGGGGTTTATACGAAGAAGTGCAACTTTTGTCATAAGCCATTGCAATAATGAAATACGAAAATTGAAAAAAAAAAATCCGGTGAATAATGTAGCTAAAATCATCAAAATACCGAATATAGGGAGATACTGATATATGGGGCCTATACGATTAGATTAGCCATAGACTGCAGTTCCAATTACGAACTCTAAATATGAAATTTGAATCAACTCCGGTGAATAATGTCGCTAAAATCATCAAAATACCGAATATTGGGAGGTACCATTATATGAAGGCTACACGAAGACGTGGGCCTGCATACCCAGTTCTTTGTCATAGGTTGTAGCACCCGCCCATACTATCACCAGGGCATGTTTGTTTACAAACTGCTGGACAACGAATTTTTTCCCATCAGAGAAACCCAAATTCGGCAGTTCACCATTTTCGGCCAAGCGAAGCAACTCTTTAGCTCTTTTGAGTCTATTTTATTTCGGTTGCGGTGTAGTTCTTGCACTTTTTGGAATTTCAATGGCTTTATCCTGAGCTCATTTGTCAATATTTGCCGAATGGAATATTGCGATATGTTCAGCTCACGAGTCATTTTTCGGCCACTGCGACGTGGTCGCTTTTTTACTTTTCGAACCATTTCTGCTGATGTTGCTGTTTTCTTCTGTCCACTTCCTTGACGTCGGGCTACGCTACCAGTATCACCGTAACGGTAACGATGGATGGTATGATACACAAAAAATTTATTCACATTTAAATGCTGGAGTACTCTAACGATAGCCACTTGTGGTTTTCAAGCCAAATATAAAGAAATCACATTATCACGCTTGAATTCCATCACGAATAGCTTTTTTTCGGGAAAATTCTCACCAAAATGCCTTTGTACGGTTGTAAACAATATGATGAGCCGTCACTGCAATAATTTTAACAGCTGTCGGACGAGTGCCTTAGAAATGACAACAATCTGAAATTGGTTGCAGTTTTTGCATCTCACCCTATATATACGTTTCATCCAATTTGGTATTTTAAGTCCCTCACATGCATAATATGCACTCTAGAAGAATAATATTTGGTTCCGGACATCAGATCAATTTTTATCGAGATCGATTCAGATTAGGATATAGCTTCCATATATATCTATCCGGTATCAGATATATTGTGCACTAAATGGCTAATATCAGCCCAATTGTGCTGAATTTTGGCAATTACGACTGTATTCATCCTATAAACCAGTACTTCAAATTTGTAAATCGGTTCAGATATAGCTATAGCTTCCATATATATGTTTTATCCGATTTGGGGTTTAAAGCCCCTCACAAGCATAATATGTATTCCACAACAATGATCGTTGTTACCAGATATCAGATACCGCTCTGAAATGAGTGTATCAAATTTTGTCAAGATCGATTCAGATTTGGATATAGCTCCCTCATATATCCTCAACCAATTTCGGGTTAATTGTACACCAAACATCGGTTAAGATATAGCTATAGCATCCATACATAGATTTCATCCGGTTTTGTGTTTAAGTTCTCCACATTTGTAATATGCACTCCACAAAAATGATATTTAGTACCAGATATCTTAAAGAGCTCGGAAATACCTATGCAAAATTTTATCGAGAACGCCTAAGATTTGGATATAGTTCCCATATATATTCTTAATTCGGTTTGTTGTGCAAATAATGGCTCATATCAGCCCAAATGGGGTGAGTTTCGGGACGTACATTTCCATTTTGTTGTTGTTGTTGTAGCAGTAGTACATGTTTGCGTTCTGTTGATCTGGTTCAGGTCCACGTCGTATAGACCTCAAATACCGAATAATGCCGTTATTCGGTATTTTTAAAATTTCAACAGATTTTTTTTAAAGATTTTATTTTTTGAAAATTTCCAAATTCGTTCCAATTGCTGGAGGGTATTCAAAGTTTGGCCTGGCCGAACTTACTGCTTTTTAACATGTTTAATATAATCCTTCTGCGTGTGATATAATGCACTCTATAGCAAACTATAACTGCTCTAAAGCCAAATGTTGATATCTATGATCTACTTGAAATAAATTCTTTTGTTATGGGAGCTCTACAAAATATGCAAAGTGGTGTAGGGTATCATGTAGTCGGGCCCGCCCGACTTTTGACTTTTCCTTGCTGGTTTTTAACATTAGTTTAGGTAGAGTGAAAAATCTAGAATGTAATGTTCTTTGTTTACGCTTGCTTATACATTACTACTTTTATTACCACTGTCATAAATTTATTTTCTATTTCATTTTATTGAAACAAAATGTCGTGCCTGTCTTTAATTAATTTTTCTTTAAACATTTCTGATTTTACCATGGCAAAATAGAGTATAAAAGCTCTGAATATCGTTGCTGAATTCATACAGTTTTTTTTTAAATATTCAGACAACACAAACAAAAGTAAATATTAATTAAATAAAAAAAATAAATAAATAAAAATTATATATACATATAATTAGCATTTAATTTAAAATAGAATATAGAAAATGATTGGATTAATAAAAAAATATTTAACATATTTTTTACACTTTTTTCTATTTTTATTTATTTAATCATTTGTTTATATGTATTTATTGGTTAATTATTTTTTTATTAACTATTAGTAAATTTTTTCGTTGATTTATTTATTTATTAATTTTTCTTTCAATTATTTATCTATTATTTTTTTTTTGTTACATATAAAATTTCCTTAGATCAAAATGAAAACCTTCTTCGCCGTCGTCGCCTTTGCCGTCATGAACTTCTTGGCCATTGCCTCAGCTGAACCCCTCTTGAATGCCTTGCCTTTGGATGCCTTACATGCATTTTATACAGTATAGAGGGTATATTAAGTTCGTCATTCCGTTTGTAACTCATGGAAATAATAATTTTAGACCCAAATATATATATATTCTTTATCAGCGTAAAATTTTAAGACGATTTATCCCTGTCCGCCCGGCTGTCTGTCTATTGTAATCGCGCTACAGTCAAAACGAATAAAGATAGGAAGCAAAAATTTCTGCACAGTTCTGTCTATTGTCTGCAGGCAGGTCAAGTTCGAAGATGGGCTATATCGATCCACGATTCGTATAGCCCCCATATAAATGTACCTCCCCCACACGGTATTCGGTATTTTGATGATTTTAGTCACATTTTTAATGAAATTGTCTAAAATTCTACACAAGGAATGTGAGTACTTTACCCCCTGACAGAGAATTGTCTATTTAGGTCCACGATATCGTATAGCCCCCCTGTAAAGGTACCCCCTTATATTCGGTATTTTAGCCACATTTTTCAACGGAATTGTTTGAAAATTCCCACAAGGAGTATCTTATCGTCTGGAGAGGAATTATTAATATAGGTCCACGATATCGTATAGCCCCATGTAACGGTACCCCTCCGGTATTCGGTATTTTGATGATGTTAGCCACATTTTTCAATGGAATTGTCTGAACTTCTACACAAGGAGTTCTTTGTAAGTACTTTAACCCCTGAAATAGAATTGTCTATATAGGTCCCCATATAACGGTACCTCCCCATATTCGGAATTTTGATAATTTTAACTACAACTTTCAATGGAATTGTCTAAAAAACCATACTAGAAGTTCCTTCTAAGCACTTTACCCCCGGAAGATTATTGTCTATATATATGGGGGATATATATCGGTACCTCCCTATATTCGAGATTTTGATGATTTTGCCACATTTTTCAATGGAATTTTCTGAAATTATACACAAGGAGTTTTATGTGAGTACTTTACCCCTTGAAAGGAAATTGTCTACATAGGTCCACAATATCGTATATCCCCCATATAACGGCAGCTCCCGATATTAGGTTTTTTGATGATTTTAGCCACATTTTTCAATCGAATTGTCCGAAATTGCAGACAAGGAGTTCTTTGTAAGTACTTTAACCCCTGAAATAGAATTGTCTATATAGGTCCCCATATAACGGTACCTCCCCATATTCGGAATTTTGATCATTTTAACTACAACTTTCAATGGAATTGTCTAAAAAACCATACTGGAAGTTCCTTCCAAGCACTTTACCCCCGGAAGATTATTGTCTATATATATGGGGGATATATATCGGTACCTCCCTATATTCGAGATTTTGATGATTTTGCCACATTTTTCAATGGAATTTTCTGAAATTATACACAAGGAGTTTTATATGAGTACTTTACCCCTTGAAAGAAAATTGTCTACATAGGTCCACAATATCGTATATCCCCCATATAACGGCAGCTCCCGATATTAGGTTTTTTGATGATTTTAGCCACATTTTTCAATCGAATTGTCCGAAATTGCAGACAAGGAGTTCTTTATGAGCACTTTACCACCTGACAGAGAATTGTCCACGATATCGTATATCCCCCATATAACGGCACCTCCCTATATCCGGTATTTTGATGATTTTAGCCACATTTGTCTGAAAATCCACACAAGGAGTTCCTTTTGAGTATATTATCCCCTGGAAGAGAATTATCTACATAGGTCCACGATATCGTATAGCTCCCATATAACGGTACCGCCGATATTCGGTATTTCGATGATGTTAGCCACATTTTCAATGGAATTGTCTGAAATTCTAAACATGGGGTACTCACAACTCCTTAAAATAGAATTGTCTATATAGGTCCACAATATAGTATATCTCCCATATATCGGTACCTTCCATATTCGGTATTTTTAAGATTTTAACAGAATTTTTAATGAACTTTATTTTTTTTAAATTTCCTAATTCGTTGCAAATGGTGGAGGGTTTTTTACTTGTTATTCCTGCTTTGGGAATGTGCTTAGGCGTATATGACTTCGATGCAATTGTGCTTAATTTTTAGCTCACTTCTTTGGCCCCAGATCACATGTGTGTGCTCGACTAGTGATGCTAGTATTCTGACATCTGAACATGATCGCTGTGTGATAACAGCGTGACACTCGTCATTAATAGGTTTTAAAGCCCTGCAACACAACTTTCGATTTTTGATGATTTAATTATGTTTTAGAGGAACAACAGCGCCGATAAATACATCTTTAAATAAAACAAGTAAAAACAAGTTAAAAAGCAGTAAGTTCGGCCGGGCCGAACTTTGAATACCCACCACCATTTGGAACGAATTTGAAAATTTTCAAAAAATAAAATCCTCAAAAAATTCGGTTAAAATGTTAAAAATACCGAATATAGCCGTTATATTGGGTCTATAGGGAGGTATCGATATATCGGAGCTGTGCTAAGACCTGGACCAGCATAGACAATTTTTTGCCACAGGCTATACTTACTTTACTAACGTCAAATACGATATCTCAAACAATTTCGGTGGATATTGTACCTAAACTTGTCAAAATACCGAATATAGGGAGGCAATTTTCTGTCACAGGCTGTAGTTCCCATTACGAACTCTAAATACGTCATTTGAAAAAATTTCGGTGAATAATAACGCTAAAATCATCAAAATACCGAATTTTGGGAGGTACCGTTATATGGGGGCTATACGAAGACGTGGACCTGCCCAGATAATTTTCTGTCATAGGCTGTAGTATCCATTTCGAACTTCAAATACCAAAGTTGAAACAATTCCGGTGAATAATGTCACTAAAATCATAACAATACCGAATATCGGGATGTACCGTTATATGGGGGCTACATGAAGACGTGGACGTGCACATATAATTTTGTGTCTTAGGCTGTAGTATCCATTACGAACTTCAACTACCAAATTTGAAAAAATTCCGGTGAATAATGTCGCTAAAATCAACAAAATACCGAATAACAGGAGGTACCGTTACATGGGGGCTATACGAAGACGTGGACCTGCACAGACAATTTTCAGTCTTAGACTGGAGTATCCATTTCGAAATTTAAATACCAAATTTGAAACCATTTCGGTGAAAAATGTCACTAAAATCATCAAAATACCGAATAACAGGAGGTACCGTTACATGGGGGCTATATGAAAACGTAGACCTACATGGCCTATTTACGAACTTAACCTGCCTACTGGAAAAATAAACACGTGTGCAAAATGTTAGCCTTCTATCTCAATTCGTTCGAAAGATAGCGTGATTACAACAGACAGACAGACGGACATGGCTAAATCGACTTAGAATTTTACGCAGATCAAGAATATATATACTTTGTTGGGTCTGACATGATTATTTCGAGGAGTTACAAACGGAATGACAATGTTAATATACCCTCCATAGTATGGTGGAGGGTATAAAAACATTAAGTTCGGCCGGGCCGAACTTTGAATACCCTCCACAATTTGGGACGAATTAGGATATCTTCAAAAAATAAAATTTATTACAAATTGTGGACCTATATAGACAATTCCATTTTAGGGGACAAAGTACTCACACGGAACTCCTTGTGTAGAATTTCAGACAATTCCATTGAAAAATGTGGCTAACATCATCAAACTACCGAATATCGGTGGTACCGTTATATGAAGGCTATACGATATTGTGAACCTATATAGACAACTCTCTGTCAGGAGGTAAAGTGCTGATAAAGACCTCCTTGTCTGCAATTTCGGACAATTCGATTGAAAAATGTGGGAAAAAATCATCAAAATACTAAAACGTGGACTTATACATGCAATGTTTCGCCAGCGGAGCTAGAACACATTATGACCAACAAATACCAATTTTTAGACAAATCCATGAAAAATGCGACAAAAATCATCAAAATACCGAATATCGGAGGTACCGTTATATGGGGACTAAACCAAAACGTGGACCTGTATCGTGATTTCAACAGACAGACGGACAGACAGACAGACGGACATCGTTAAATAGACTTAGAATTTTATGCTGATTATGAATATATATACATTATGGGGTCTACGACGAATATTTAGACATGTTACAAACGGAATGACAAAGTTAATATACCCTCCTTTCCAAGGTGGAGGGCATAACAAGTAAGAAGGCAGTTAAGGGTCCGAAATTTTACTTATTGGAAGGAACTTCAAAATCTCAAAAAAAAAAATCGGTTACAAATGCCGTTATCATTTTAAAAACCGAAAAGCTGGTGATACACTTATATGGACACTTATATAGGGCTATAAGTGGATCTCTACAGCTAATTATATGCCAAAGAAAGTGGTGAATATTACGAATTCCAAATAAGAAGTTTAAGATAATTCTGTTGAAAAAATTAGCAAAATATCGAATATTCGTAGGTGCCGTTATATGGGGACTATAACTAAATTTAACCTGCAATGATGTTTCCTTCATGCTGGAAACACCAACTGTCAATTTATAGGAAATTCGGACAAAAAAACCATCAAAATGCCATAAACCGTTGAACGTGGAAATATCTAGCCCATTTTCAGTACTATGCAAACCTAAAACATATCTGTGTAAACTTTTAGCAACCAATCTTATTACGTTTGGGAGCTAGAGTAATTTCCACAGACGGAGAGACAGACAAATGGACGAATTTCGACATAGGATTTTATATACTTTGTGGGGTCTAAAATTTATATTTCGAGGTGTTATAAAAGTAATGACAAACTTAATATACTCTCTATATAATGGTGGAAGGTATAAATAGATTTTTTCCCCAATCCGACACCTGGAAATACGCTTTGCAATTACAGACACTTTGGTATCATACAATTAAGACTTAAAATTTTTACAGGACATCATATTTATAAATTTATGTTTGTACGCCCATTAATTTGTTCAGCTTAGGTGTTTGGTGTCAGATTTACCAATAAAACAATGTCAATGAGGAATGTTAATTTACCACTGACAAAATGTCAAAGTGACGATTTTCTGTGTTGTCCAATTTTGTATTGAAGTAAAT